CACGGGATGCAGTGGTGAGTGGCAAGAATGGATAGATGCAGTCTATCAGTGACATTCCAGGCAGGAGCAACAGGCTCTCCGTTGCCAGTGGTGCTTACTTCAAAATCTCTCATAGGAAGTCTTCCCCATTTCACACCACATTCACTAATTCTGCTTCTCTGCAAAATTTACTATTTAGTCTATCCTATATTTTGTAAGCAAAACATCACTTACATAAACAGAAGTTATAGTAAAATTAATAACCATTTCCATATAAATATACAAAACTATCAATATCTTCTTTGTGAAGGGCTGGAGAAGCTGGACTGAAACTTAAGGAGGTACAAACATTTTACATAGGAATGAATTTTACCTTTCCAAATGTGGGTGATGAGGCAACAATATGGGATTTTTAAAAAGTAGACAATTTCTTGGTTGTCTGACATAAAGCTAGAAAGAAGGTGTGATTTGTCCTAAATGGTTGGGGTGGGGGTATAATTTCATAGGGAACTTAGCCAATGCATAGTGGGATTTTATGTGTTTAAAGTACATAAAAACTGATAGAAATGTATAGAACATGGATAGTTCTTGTCTTGAGTATATCCTGAGCATATTTGAAAGTAAATATTACAACTATTGATTTTATTCCATGAAATTTTATTTCTATTAAAGTGATGTTTTATGAAATGGAAAATTGCTCCATTTCTCATTTATATGTATTGCCCATGTTCATAAATTTCTTTTTTTTGTTTGCCTAATCTTCTAGGGAGCAGTTCTCAATGCATGGCCCTCTGCCCACTTAGGAAGGCCAATAGGTTTTATTAACAGGTTGCTTAGCAACCCCAAAACTTGTTAAATGCCTGAATGAGATCAACTCATTAATAACTGCCTACAGATGATTTGCTAAATTTTGCATTTTTGAACCAAAATGAGTGCTTTTCAGAGCTTAGAGTGTTTAGCAATGGCTCCAATTCTGTATTTTGTTAATTCGATATTTTCCCAACATTGCTGGGCTCCTACTGCATGTGCAAATAGTTGAAATTCCTACAATTTGTGGGAAGGATACTTATTATCAGTGCTGTCTTGAATTGATCATGTTTTTAAATTGCTATTCTTCTTGCTTAATAGCAAATTATTGTTGGTTTTGCTCATCATTATCAGTTTAGTTTGTTGTGGGTTATTTCTAACCCCACAATATGTAGTAATGAATATTTATAAATTTTCAGGCTATAATTTTCTAAAACTAGACTCTGATATGTTTGCACTGCATTTAAGTATGATTCATCCATACTCTTATTGCTAAAGCAGATGTATACATATTTCCCCCATAATTTACTCATATGAGAAAATTTCATTGGTAATGTCTGCAGTACATATTAGCTTGCAAATTACTTACAATATGTCATCAAGGTAAATCTAATATAAGTAGTGGGTTACTTTACAAAACGCGAGCTAATGGTTCAATCTTCTTATGTAAATATGGGCACTTAATTTATAGGTTGGTGGTTGGTTTGCTTTGGGCCAGCCTTTGAGTATCACTTCAACGCAGAAATGAATGGAGTAAGTCAAAATAGTGAATTATCATTCAAGGCCAGTATTCCCCCAACCATGTTCTACTAGACATCAATAGACATTGTGCAGATGATGGATTCTTTACTCATATAAATTGGGAGAAAGCGATACATATTATATTCCCATTTTAGAGATATCCAGGGCCCCTTAGCATATTGTGATGGTTAATTTTATGTGTCAGTTTGGTTAGACCATAATACTAAAATATTTGGTTAAACACCTTTCTGAATGTTGCTGTGAAGACATTTTTTAGATACGATTAACATTTAAATCTGTAGACTCTGAGTAAAGCAGACTGCCCTCCATTATGTGGGTGGGCCTCATGCAATCAACTGAAGACCTTAAGAGAAAAAAGACTGACTTCCCCCAAGGAAAGGGGAATTCTTCCAACAGGCCGCCGGGGCTCAAGCTGCAGCATTATTTTTCCCCTGGGTCTCCAGCCTGATGACCTACCCTGCAGATTTTAGACTTGCCACAATCCACAATCATGTGAGCCAATTCCTTAAAATATCTCTCTCCCCTTCCCCACCCCCACCCCCAACACACACACAGTTGGTTCTGTTTCTCTAGAGAACCCTGACTAATGTACATATTAAAGGCTCTGAAAAGTTATGCAATTAAAAAAAAAAACTGTTTAACCCAGTGTTTTCCCAGCTTATTTAATCACAAAATATTTTTCATAAAATACCTACTATTAATAATATCTCAAAACACAGCTTGGAAAATGCCCTTTTCAAGACTGTACCTTAGACAGGTTTATTTGCAGCCCGTGTCAGCAATATTGGAGTCTCAATCTGTTTGATTCAGAAACTAGTGGCACAACTATTGGAATAAAAGATTCTGTGCATTCTTTTCTTCTGCACAGAGCATAGGCAGAAGAAAATAATTACATGTTATATGAACATGATGAAGCAAATGTCCATTGCAGAGCCAGTTTCACACGTAATTATGTCTTATGAAAAAGTATCTACCTATACAATCAACCCTATAGTTGTGCTTTTGTAAAATGCTCTTCTATGGGTATCTTAGTCTGTTTGGGCTGCTATAACAAAATACTACAAACTGGGTGACTTATAAGCAAAAGCTTATTTCTCATAGTTCTGGCAGCTGAGAAGTCCAAGATCAAGGTGCTGAGAGATGTGGTGCCCGTTTCCTGGTTCATAGATGGTGACTTCCAGCTGTGTGCTCGCATGGTAGAAGGGGCAAAGCAGCTCCCTTGAGTCCCTTTTATAAGGTCCTCAGTCCCATTCATGACAGCCTCACCCTCATGACCTGATCACCTCACCAAAGGCCTCACCTTCTAGCAACATTATCTTGGGGTTTAGCATTTCAACAAATGAATTTGGAGGGGGACATAACATACAGACCTTCGCAGTGGATATTGTTGGGGACTGGGATGTCATACTGAAACATCATCAATTGCAGTATAATTGGCACAAGACAATGTACAAATTGCAGGGAGGCTGACAAGAGAAGCCAACTTACCTCAGAGAGAAGTCTCCATGCCCTATGCCTCCTTTTTCTCTTGTGATGCCTTCTTGAGTGTGTTTCCAGAAATGTTCCTCACTGATCCCAGTTCATCCCTTAGCTCTTATCCTAGAAGCCACTTTTTCCAGAACGCCTTTTCTGACTCTGCTCCTACCCCAAACCCATCAGGCAAGCCCATCAGGCAAGGCTTCCATCTGTCTTCCTTCTTACATGCATTCAAATCCCCTACACCTCTGCACTGGACCTGGACATTGTTTATTATCATTGCCTGTCTTTCCTACAAGACTCTAAGGTTCACATGAAGTCAGGGTTCAGAACATGATACCCCAATGTATGGCACCTTGGCATACTGAGTATTTTAAGCCGAAGGAAATTGAGAAAACTTCGAAAGCAGGAAGGTCTCTCTGACCTTCTCCACCCTCTTTCTCTTGAACTGGGCCATAGAAACTAGAATGCCACCTGCCCCTTCTTCTCTGAAGCAGACCTTAAAATCTAGGAAGCTCACTCTCTGATCTTCTTCCTCCTTTCTCTCCTGAAGATCCCCATATGACAGATACGTCACCCTATAACCAGAGAAAAGAAATGGCATGCAGGGATTCCAGGAGGAATCTGAAAAAACGGGTCCTACTAAGTTCCCCCAACCCCCAGTTTATCACCATTAGATTAGACCCTTTTGTCCTCCAATTATACTTCTGCATGAGCGTCCATAAAAATAATTTCTTCTGAGTCTTTGGGTCCTTTTTCTGAAGGCTCCCATGTCACATAAAGGCTTCCATGTCACATATTTATTTATATTAAATAAATGTGTTATGCACTTATCTTATTGATGGGTGTCAGCTGTAAACCTTGTGATGGGTGAGAAAAGAAGTTTCTCTCTCTCCCTACGTGGTCAGGGGCTGTTCCCACCTTGCTCATCTCAGCAGCCATCGTCCCCGCCCATCATGGAAACTCTGCGTGAAGTAACAAAAGGTTGAAGGGGCTTTCCTTCTCCCTAATTTTCCTCATTATTCCATAGAAATAATCCTTTCCTGGCCTGGTGCAGTGGCTCATGCCTGCAATCCCAGCACTTTCAGAGGCCCAGGCAGGTGAATCATCTGACGTCGGGAGTTTGAGATCAGCCTGACCAACAAGGAGAAACCCTGTCACTACTAAAAAATACAAAATTAGCCAGGTGTGGCGGCACATGCCTGTAATCCCAGCTACTGGGAGGCTGAGTCAGGAGAATCACTTGAACCCAGGAGGCGGAGCTTGCAGTCAGCTGAGATCGCACCATTGCACTCCAGCCTGGACAACAAGAGTGAAACTCCATCTCAAAAAATAAAAGAAGTAATCCCAAATCAGAGTGTTTTTCTGATCCCTCTTTAAAGATCTTCACCCTCTTAACCTTGAAAAAAATCTATGCCAAGAGTCCATGAAATGTTCACATATGCATGCGTATACACACACATGCACACATACATGTCTATACATTCACTTACTCTTGCAAATAATAAAAACAAATACGCATGTGCCAACACAATAAAGAGGGGGTTCAAGGAGCAGTTTTGGGGAGTGAGAGAGACTGAATCGAATTATAGCTGTGTCATTATATGGGTCAAGTAAAATTGTGCAAAAGTTTTCAAATCTATAAAAAGCAAAGCAGAGATTCAGTCTTGATTCTAGAAACCTTCCACTCCTCCCCTGCCATTTACATAGCCTAGTGCTATATTGTGTACACTGAAAATGGGTTTCTCTTCCAAGAATTATCTCTGAAAACAAAAGCATTAAGAAAAATAGTGTATTGGCAGGTAGATAGGCTTTCATTTCAGGAAATTAGGTGGAGTGTTGGAGGGTTGTGTGTGTGGGAGGCCTGAGGGTGACGATGGCATGCAGTGAATGCCAGACCTGGTTACCCTCTCTCTCTGCACCTTCATATCCCTCTGCCTAATCTTCAGCTACTCACACGCATTCTTCCTCTGCAGGGATCCTGGAGCTAGCATGGCCTCATCCTCTCCTTCCAGGCCCACATCCAGAGGCAGAAAACCTGTGCCACCACCAATAGTGTCATCTGAAGAGGTTGCCAATGTGTCTATTCCCAGGCAAGATGCACCTATAGAGCTTTCCCAAGAACCCCTCTCCTTTGCTCTGTCCCCATCAAGTCTACAGGTGAGTCTTGATAACATAAGAGTGTAGATACCATTGGCTCCCAGCATGAAGGAGCTAAGACCTGGAGAAGCCAGGGCATCTAAATGCCTTCCTTAAATGCCTCTCTGCCTTCCTCTAATCAAGTTCTTCTGTAGCTGATAGAGAGCTTCGAGAATGAGTAACCAACTCTAGCAAAGAAATTCCTGCCCACCCACCCACCTCTGCCCCATGCTACTTGAAACCAGGGAAATCCACAGATCAGAAATAAACTTGGCACATTTAAGAATACAGACAATACAATACTCCTTGCATTTTGGGTATAAGAAGTGGGTATTGAATCACAGTAATGTCTCTTATTTATTTATTTATTTATTTAGGAGAGAAGGTCTCACTCTGTCACCCAGGCTGGAGTACAGTGGCACAATCAGGCTCACTGTAGCCTCAAACTCCTAGGCTCAAGTGACTTCTAGGCTCAGCCTCATGAGTAAACTAGGACTACAGGTATGCACCACCATGCCTGGCTAATTTCCTCATTAATTTTTGTAGAGACAGAGGTCCCACTATGCTGCCCAGGCTGGTCTCAAACTCTTGGCCTCAAGTTATCCTCCAGCCTTGGCCTCCCAAAAAGCTGGGATTACAGGCATGAGACACTGTGCCTGGCCACATCTCATTTTTAAAACTATGGGGATTACTTTATAATTTCCCAGAAAGCCAGAGCATGCTTACACCTGCACCCAAGCATACCAGGTCATTGATAGCCCTTAATTACAAGTAGGCTACCTGTTAAACTAAATTGAAATTCATTGATATGATCCAGTTATTGAAAGACAGGATGCTTTTTGTCAAAAAAGGCTCTCCAAAATACCCTATTGATGAGAACATTAATTGAAGAACACCTTTCCAGACTCAGGGCCAAGAGGCCAAGTCACTCTACCTGACTACACAGGGGCTGTATGAAGTTGTTCTGTATACGGTGCAACAAGAGGGTTCTGGGGCCTGGGGCATGCAGCACAATTTCTAAACAGTGGAGGATAAAGGAAGGGCCACCAGAAGCCATGAAAACCCAAGTTGCAAAGACAAGCTTGGGCTTACTCATTAAAGATGTGTTCTTTGGCCTCTCAGAGGATCTACTTGAAAGTCACCTCCATTTGAAATCCTTGGCTCAGGATCTTCTTACTGCTTTATTACCCAAGTCTACTAAAATCCTTAGAATAACTGATGATGAAAATCTCACCAATTTTTTTTCTTTTCCTGGGGTTAGAAGGGGGGAAAAAAACAATACGTGAGTCTATTTGAAATCATTTTATGAATTTTAATCATAGCAAATGTGTTTTTACAGTAGTCATAAAATCAACATTACCACATATACAAAGGACAAGACACCAGTTTGGCATACAAAAATACCATATATTAAAATTGGGTTCATTGGAAAACTCAGGACTGGCTAAGACACCATCTATAACAGAGAGAGCAAGCAAGAATGCTTTTAAGACATTCAGATTTATAAACAGCAGCTTGATATCCCCTTTATGAAGTCAATATTTGGCAACATTTGGACAGTATTTTCTACACAGCCCAGCAGCTCATTTATCTGTCGGGCTATTTGGCCCTTAAAAAAAAAGCTCCTAAAATAAATAATCCACATAATTGTAAATGAAACACATCAAGGATTTGAGTTAATAGCCTCTGAGCAGCATTAATCTAGCCATTAGACTGGAATATTTGTTATCAAGAGGGCCAGGGAACCCACCGCTGAAGCTGTAGGGTGGGAGAAACCCTGGGCTGCAGCTACATGGCTTGTGTTGGGAGTTTGTAACAGTCCCAAGCTGAAACCAGCTTCCACACCTATGACTGTTGAGTGAGGCAAACACAAACAAGTGGTGAAATGAAAAAATATATGACAGCGACCAGGATATATAAACTGAAATATTCTTGAACTCATTTTCCCAACAGTACTGACATAATCAAGTCAGGATAGATCCACAGGAATAGGCCTTGCATTCCATGGTTAAGAGGATTCTAGAGTCTGTACTGATGTGGCAACCAACTCTAGAGCGGGCTCTGAAATTGCCTAGTGTGCTAACGATCCAAAGCACGAGCATAGGATAGGGTGACAGGGAAAATGGGGCCTCCTTGGACCCTCGTCAGCTGAGCACATTACCCCACGTGTCTTCAACTGAAGCATCCTGAATTGAACTTGGTAGTCCATACTGGAATGACAGATTGTGCTTAACTAAATTGTCCTAGTTGTCCTGTGCTTTCTCCAGCTGGTTTCTGCCATGTCTGCTTCAGCTCCTGTATGTCTTGTTTTGCAGCTGTACTCTTCCTTTATTAAGTATTTTTTCCCTCTCTGGGTATATCTGCCTGTCCCTTGACATAGATCCAATGCTTCACCTCTCCTCTCTCTCTCCCACTCCCTCTCCCTCTCCTTTTCCCTCTCCCTCTCCCTCTCTTTCTCCCTCTCCCTCTATTTAATAGTTGGGTTGTCCCTCAATCCAGAAAATCCTATGAGGATTTGTAAATGAAATCTTCATAGAATTTTCCTAAAGCACAGTGTAAGGTACCAGCTACTGTGTTCTGCCACTATTTAACAGAGGTATCAACTAGATCCCCTTTAAGAGGCATTGGTCATCTCCGTTTCCTTCTGTTTACAGCCCATGCTCTTCCACCACTATTATATCCAACTGTCTACTTCTGGATCTTCAAAAAGCAAATGTTGAATTAAAAATGGACCATCCCTTTGGAAAACTCCTGTTAGAATAACCCAATAACTCACACCCCAAGGAGATTACAGAAGACTTTCACATGGGCTACTAGCCCTACATCCCATGGCAATAAATTTAGAGCAGTGTTCTAGAACAAAGACAACTACAGGGAAGCACTCCCAGAAAAACAAAGAAAATGCATGCTGTTGCAGACTTCAAGAGGTCCCTCAGTACTCTGCCCCAAATATTACTGATTGTCCCTAAAAATATAATAGTATGAATAATATAAAAAACCTTAGATTAGAATAATAAAATCTAGCTTATGAGATGAGTGTTTCAAGCACCACTACATCATAGGTGAGATATATATATAGTGGGATACCCCAGGCAGTGAATTCTGAAAAAAAAAAAAGTCATTGGCTCGACTGAGCAAGAAAATTTGTGCAGAAAAATGGGAACCCAAATTGCAGGGGTTCAGGAATAATGGTGCACTTGCCCTAACCACTTGAGCAGATCCAAAAATAAGGTATTTGGAAGAAATTAAATGCCCCACCTGCTAATGTTCTTTAATGATCAACGGCTTTCCAATAAAATGTATACAGTAGAACCTACCTCTTCATATATTTGAAAAGTTTCAAGTGTTTATATGGACACTCCCAAAGGTAGTTAGTTTGACGTAATGTATGCAGCCCATAGCAATGGTTAAGAAATTAACATCTAATCCAATATTGTATAACTCACAAATTGGAAAACATGACTAATAAGATTTTACTTGATTTTTAACTCCAATTACAGCTAAATCATGGTGTGTGTGTATGTGTGTGTAGTAAGTCAGTTGTGTCAGAAAAATCAATGGCTTGAATTTCCACTTATCTTTTAGAAGTGTTTCATGTCCGCTGGGTGCGGTGGCTCACTCCTGTAACCCCAGAACTTTGGGAGGCTGAGGCGGGCAGATTACCAGAGGTCAGAAGTTGGAGACCAGCCTGACCAACATGGAGAAACCCTGTCTCTACTTAAAATAATACAAAATTAGCCGGGCATGGTGGCGCATGCCTGTAATCCCAGCTACTCGGGAGGCTGAGGCAGGAGAATAGCTTTAACCTGGGAGGTGGAGGTTACAGTGAGCTGAGATCACGCCATTGCACTCTGGCCTGGGCAACAAGAGTGAAACTCCATCTCATAAATAAATAAATAAATATATAAATAAGTGTCTCATGTTGAACAAAATTCGGCAACTGAACATCATTGCTTTTGAAATAGACTACTACTTTCAAAACAGCTACTGAATTATCTTGACTACCTTATTCTTCTCAGTAGTTTCTGTTTTGGTAAGAATTACCTTGTGGGTGACAATTTACTGAGAATGATGGAAATGTCAAGCAACAGCTTCTCTATCTAGGTCAGGGATGACAGACTGACTACCTGACACTTCTTATGTGGAAACAAAATGCTGACTGGTGGGCAGCATCATTTTTCTGAGAAAAGATAGAAATTGAAGTCTTTTGTGTATCACTCCTCTTGCACTGATAACTTTTGAACTTCTATCTTCCTCTTAAGGCTAAAGAAAGATTACTATCTTGGCAAAAAATAAAATAAAATAAATGACTTTTAAAGGCAAGCTAAGAAGGAAAGTCTTGCCCATTGATGAGTTCTAGAAAAAAGCCCCAAAAAACAAAACAACCCATTTCTGCTAAAATGAAGTAAATGCATTTTGTATATATTCCATTTGGAAAACAATGAAAAGTAGACTAACCAATTTTGAAACAACGTAAGTTTTCAAATAAAGGGATGGGAACTCTTCAAATCAAAATCTAGACTGGAATAAATACCAGATTATCAGTAAGAATCGGGTCTTTATGGGAAAATATATCTGAAACTGAATTTTCTGCTTCCTTTTATTTAGCTAAAAAGTAATTCTTGTAGCTTTAGTAACCTTCAAGTCTTTAAATTTCACGGACAATACTTTTTACTGTTAAAAGAAGTGCTTTTGTGCAAAGCTTCAAATCTTCAACTCTCAGTGATAACTGAAATTTTTGCTTAAAAAAGACAGTGACTAAAACAATGTCAAATCTCATTCTAAAAATAGTACCTACATTTTAGTCTGGCATCTGAAAAATGATGCCCACATATGCCCACACCAAATACAATGACAAGCTGGCCTTCAAGGGCAAACAAAACCAGTCTGAACACTGCAAAGCATGCTTGCTCTTACATTTGCACCTTACTAATACAGCAATGAAGTTTGGATAAGATATTGGAAGTGAACAGGGATTTCATTAGGCTTTTTTTTTTTTTTCCCTGTAACATTTATTTTTTGGCCACAAGACCCAATTTCACAGTACGGGTCATGCATAGCTTGCAAGTCAAACGTTTTACAGCTACTGTCTAACTACTATTTTTGGACAACAGGTTCACATGCAACTAATGATCCCAGAAAAGCAGCTTAATAAAGCACTCTTTAAGCTTCACTGATCATTCCTTGGTCTAAAGTCTATAAGCAACAGTTCCAAAGGGCAACAATGAATTTTTACTGTCATACTTGAGATCATACACTTTTTAAGCCCAGAAAGGAATTTTTTGCCTTTTTCTACCTGCATGTTCCTAGCCCACAAACTCTTTTCTTAGCCTCACCGCTACGCCATTAATACCTTGATGCTAGATCTCCAAGCACAATCACCTAGAACTGCATTGTTCAATATGGCAACCACTAGACACATACGGCTATTTATATTTCAGCTAATTAAAATTAAATAAAATTTGAAATCCAGTTCTTACCTTGTAGTAACCCCATTTTAACTGCCTAAAAGTCTGGTGGCTACTATACCAGATGGCACAGGTTTTCGAGCATTTCCATCATCACAGAAAGCCCTATTGAACAGAGCCCATCTAGAAGATCTCACGGGTTATACCATCGCATGGTTTAACCTTCAAGGGACCCAATCTGTAAGCCATGCAAAAAATTAAACTTAATTCTATTTTTAAAGAAAATATCTTAGAGCTTTCTGATCACTAAGTATGACTGGAACCGAAAACCGAGTTGCCTTTTCATCACAACTTATGCCCCAAGTCATTATACAAAATTTTTCCAAAGACAATGCTTCTTAGTAGCATTCTTGGCTCTACTTAACATATTAAGCATTCTCTTACTTATTTCAAGATCATTAATAAAGATGAAAACTCATGCTTCTTATAGTTTACTATTTACACAACACTCACTGTCCTTTACATACAAGTGGGGTGGGAGGTTTGGACACCAATGTTTTACAATTTTAAAAACTCAAACCACATGGTTTGATAGTTGTCTTTCAACATCTATACTCATCCCTAAGTCAACCCTCCTTTCATTTTCCCAGAGAGGTAGATGCTAACTAAAATGAGTACATAAACCTACAAAAAAAATCCTTTGAAGTAGTAGTTGACTCAATAAAGGGTATTCATCAACCCTAGAAAGGATCATAGCCAGATAGAGATGTAGACAGACCTAGGATGGAACAAGAAGACACTGCAGTGCAAAGTTCATATCCCCCCTTGTCTGCAGAATTACAAAATGGACTAATCTACAAAATGAAGCCACCGGAGGCTGCTTTCAGCTCTAACTTTCTGTGCTTTCCAGTTGTGACTTTTCATTAATGTGCAAGTATGAATTCTGGCCTCTTGTGTCAGTGGACTTTGGTTACATGGGTAGATGTGTTTGGTAAGGGTCATTGGTAAATTCCAGAAGAGGCCAGAGCAATGGGATGCCAAGCAACATTAAAACATCACTAAGCCTATAAAATTCTATCTGGCAGACTGAGATTCTCTCTCTCTCTCTCACACACACACACACGCACACACACACAAGAATGCACACCCCAACAAACAGGTACACAAATAACTGCAGGTAGAATCCATTTAAACAATTTAAACAATGTTTCTTAGGTCAATAAGACTCGCAAAAAAAAAATTAATAATCTGATTTGGGTTGTTATTATTAAATTTAAGGTCAAGAATCTACCATACAGCCGATTAATTTTGCACGCTTAATGGCAGCTCTAGCACAGGATTGTTTTTAAGTAAAAGTTCTATGGACATTTTTACAGATTTGCACTAAGAAACACAGGACACTATCATTACACATATTAGTGTCTATATCTAACCTACTTTAACAAGTAGAGCTCTATCACGTACTACACTACAGAATCAGTCATTTCATACTGTACAGAAACATATGCAGATATCACTCACAAAATTAATCTGAATATGGCATAGCTTAAAATTGCAAGGGTAAAGTCTATTTGAAATGTAGCATTCTCAATGCAACATTTCTGTGGTGTGTGTTTGTGTGTGTGTGTGTGTTTGTGCGTGTGTTTGTGTGTGTGTGTGTGTGTATTTTCCTCCAAGAGAAATAGAAATTAGGTCAGACATGCATCACAGCAGCCTGGGAGAGTTTGAGAAACTGACACTAACCCAACAGTATATTATGTTATGTAATAGAGGATAGTATTCAGCTAATATGATACCTAAATTATTAATACCAAATAAATCCTAGATTATTTGTTGTATAATGCCCAAGAGCTTACACAATAAAATGGCATTTTAACCTAATTTCTATTTTGAGCTTTCAAATACATTTCCTAAAGGTTTTATGACAAATTTGAAAAATCATAGCTCATAATTTTATGTTGAAATTCTCATGCCAATTAGCGGTATTAGCTTTGTATTGTAGTCACTATATTTTTGTTTTATTTCACATTAATTCCATCACTTTTATATGCATATTTTGTGCTGCTTGAAAATAACAGGTAGCATGTAAATAAATTAAATTGTCTTGACCTCACAGGGCTATTTTCTAGCCTTGCTTTTTGGAATTAGCCCTGCTTGTCTTTCCTTCACTTCCCCCCACCCTCCTCACCATTTTCAGGGATTCAGTGGAACATAAAAACAGTTATATTTATAAGTGGAGTCCGTGTCACATACCACTTGCTTCATGAATTCCTTAAAAGAAGTTAGATGAGAACTGTAAAGCTCACAGCTATTTCTGAATGCACATGCACCCAGGGATAGGAATTTATCACTCACTTCTGGCAGATCTTTCTTCATGAGCATCTATAATCATTACACATTTAAGAATATTTGACAGTTTATGAGGAACTGGTCCACTTATATTGGGAATTTCAGCTGTTAGTTTACCTTGCCACTTTTGTCAGTAAAAACTGTTAAAATGCAGAAGATCTTCTCTCTTATATCAACAAGAGGAAACTGGAATTCTAACTGGCTTAACTCTTGTGGAAGAGCATCTTTCAAAAAAGAATCACAGACCATCTATTAAAATGCCCTCCCGGGTTGGCCGTCAATCACAACACTCATGGCCAGCACGAGACTCCAAAACCAGAAGAAAAGACACTCTTCTGTTACTCTCCATTTGCCTCTTACAAAAGGCAGGACTTCAATACACAGATGAGGGGTGAGTGTTGCAGGTGACGGGCAGGAGACTCCCTGCTGGGTCAAGATGTCCATGAAGTGGCCACCGCTTCAGAGGCTGGACTCACTCATGCCCAATTAAGTCTTAATCCAGGATTCTTCAGCAAAGACTCAAACACCTGAGGTAAATCAAATTAGACACACATACATACACACACAAATACACAGTATTTACATTTGAAATTCTTGTTTGTGAGATGGCTTGAGAAAAATCGGCATACAGGTTTCCTGTGGGATTACACATTTCTCATGATTTCTCGGTTTATTGCTCCCCTGTTGAGCTTTCAGTTTCATAAACACGTAGCAAGTTCTAATTACAAGTGAAGAAAATGAAGGTTCATGACAAAACACAACACATTGGAGACACTTGTTCAAATATTTTCTCCAAAAAAAAAAGGACTGTCCATTTTGACTTATTTTGTTTTGGTGCCATTCAAAACGTATTAAAGCCTTAGCAACTAAATGAAGACTGGGTTTCAATAAAAAGAAAAAAAAAAAAGTAAAGAAGCCAGCAGTGCATGTCTTCACTGAATTTTTACACGGATTCGCAGGTTTAATTCTACTTGTCTATATAGCATCTTTGTTTGAATCTACCACATTTAGAGAAGGTCACATTGTACACACTTGTACAGTTTCACGTCTAAGTAGAATATGTCTATCTTGTAACATGATTTTGAAAAATCATAAATTACAGTCCATTGAATACATGATTATGAGGATGCATGCAATCATCTTCCAAGCTGTTGCCATCAACACTCAGAACAATTCGCTTGGTATCTTGTTGAGACCTCACCTTCTGCCCTTTGTGTCTGTTTTGGGGTAATCAAGAGGCAATGCAGAGGCCAGCGCTCAGCACCAAATGGTCAGTGTCGCCCCCCATCTTCTCACCGGGATCTCATCATCAACCTGCTCAACCCCTAAGTTGGCACCCACAAGAGACTTCCCTGTAGCCCTGTTCAGCCACAGGATATCACAGTGAAGCGCTTAGAAATGCAAGACATGTTGTGGAGCACGATGCCGAGGAGGAAGACCAGGACGCAAGCCACCAAGATGACAGTGCACACCCCCGACCAGGTGGAGCTTTTCACCACGCCCCGCCTGTCCTGCTCCTCCTCCGCTGCCTCCTGGGGAGCCCCACCTTGCAGAGGCTGCTGTTCAGCAGGGATGGTCACCACGGTGACGGACTTCTGCTGGCTCCCGGGCAGCAGGCGGCAGCCCATGTCTCCGGGCAGCAGCGCACGCTCCTTGGAGATGGGCAGGGGCAGCATGTAGCACCCATTGCTGGGAAGTTTGATGAAGACCGGGGTGTGTTCGGAAGTGTGTGGAATGGCGATGACAGCCAGGACCTCTGGGTCATCGGGGAGCTGTGACACGGAGAAGCCGGGGGGCAGCTTGGTGACACCGCGGCACCAGGGGCACCGCACGTCCTTCTGGCTGGTCCTCATCTGCTGGAGGCACACTGAACAGCAGGTGTGCTTGCAGTCCAGCAACTTGGGCCTGCGCCGGGGGCTGTAGTAATTGAAACAGATCTGACATTCCAGCAGAGAGTCCTGGGACAGCGTCTCCATGGTGGACTGTGAGCAGGAAGGGCAAGGCCAAGGTGAAGGGGAAGGAGCTGCTTCTCAGAGGCTGCCGCCCTGTGTCTTTGCAGTGCGGGTGATGGCGAGCTCACAGGCATCCAGTACTCACAGGTGTGTTCATTTCTGAGAGAGACAAACAATGCAAACAATCTTAATCATTTCAAAGAAGTTGAGATGTCAACATATCTAATGGATTTATACCATTGCTCAAAAGACTTGACACTGGGTCAAAAGTCTAAAAATGTACCACTCTTGAGACTACAGGATTCCCATAACGCCCAGTGAAAGGTAAATGAAAGTTGTCTCCGAGAGCATGTCATGGCAAATACTTCGTTCATTTCTAAAAAAATGAACACCTCCAACAGGTGTAGATGATGCCTCTGCATTTCATAAAGAGAGAGTATTTTGTTTCTGTTTTGTACATTTCAGCAAACTCTGGGTCATCCTTCTAAAATATACTGGAGAAACTCTCCTGCTTCCAATAAGTTAATAGCATTTCCTAGAAGTAAATTCCTCTCCTTAGATCCTCTGACCTTTTTTCCTGACTCTATTTACTCACTCGTAAGTCTTAATTGCAAGATTTAGGCAACTTCACAAACCTAGGTATAACTAGCTTGCTCAGTTTACATATATGGGTTAGGACTATTCCTCTTCACAGAGAATTAAAGTGACACTACAGAAGAAGCACGTGAAGGCATCTTTCATCTTTCCCACCAAACCATTTGAAGAGAACAAAACAAAAAACCCCAAACAGCAACAAAACCAAAAGCAGCAGTGAACCTTAAGGCAGTGTGGATCACAAAGGCACAATCATCACAAACGCATCACTGACATTTTCCAGTCAGTTCTTTTTGTTTCATTACTACTTAGGCATGTACCAAGTAGCATGACTAAAAGCAAGTATAATTGACCCTTGAACAACACAGGTTTGAACCACATGGATCCACTTAAGTACGAATTTTTTGAATAGATACAGTCAGCCCTTTCTATGAGTGGGTTCTGCATCTGCGACCAAATGACATCTAAAATACAGCATTCTCAGGATGCAAAGTCCCTGTATACCAAGGGCCGTCTTTTCATATTCTTGGGTTTTATAGTACCAACTGTGGGCCTTGAGTATTTGCAGGCTTTGGTATACATGGGGGTCCTGGAACCAAAGCCCTCAGATAGAGAGATGACTGAACCATTAATTCACTAATTGAAATAAAATATTCTATAGTTAAAGGTTGTCAGGGAAGACTGGCAAGCATTTCTCATTGTAAAAAAAACAACAACAAACAAAAACAAAAACAAACAAAACTGTTAGCATCCTGGTATGGAGGGGAGGCAGAGAAACTCAGTTCAGCTTCACTGAAGTTTGGGAATGCCCTCTAATGTTCCACTGGCATTTCAATAAAGGCTGCCTGACTCAGTTTCCCATTGAAAGCATCCAAATTATGTGTCCCAGGATGGAGTCATGATGACTCTAGAAAGAACTACTCAATCACTATTGCAGAAAAAATTGCTAGTCCTAGAACCCCACCAACACCTAGAGATGGGAACTATAACAAATAGATAAGCTCCTTCACATTTTTCTTAAAATTAACTCTTCTTTTTTCTTTCTAATTTCCTTTGTGAAATTAAGAAAGCACCTCCACCCATGACACATAAGTGTTAACAATCGAAATTAAGAATGCAGCAAAAGCCAACCTGGCTGATGTGGGGGCTCACACCTGCAATCCCAGCATTTTGGAAGGCTGAGGAAGGGGAATCATTTGAGCTCAGGAGTTCCAGACCAGCCTGGGCAACATGGTGAAACCCTATCTCTACAAAAAAACAAAAACTAGGCAGCCATGGTGGCACGCACCTCTAGTCCCAGCTACCCAGTAGGCTGAGGTGGGAGGACCACCAGAGCCTGGAAGGTTGAGGCTGAAATGAGCCATGTTTGCACCACTGCACTCCAGCCTGGATGACAGAGTGAGACCCTGTCTCAAACAAAACAAAACAACAATGAAAAAAAAAAAAACCAGTTCAAAGACAAAAACAACCACTGTTAAAAACTAGTAACAATCAAAAGATCAACATACTTTAAAATAAAATATATTAGCTACACTAAAAGCACTTAAGTTACCGAAAGTGAAATACAGTAATGTAGCATTCAGAAAGTTCATATCAGGATCAACTACATAGCTATCCACTAATTCAAAAAATATTTATGGAATATCTATTATGCACAAACCACAATGCTAAATACTGTAGGATATAAATCAGACCCAGATTCTACCTGAAAACAACTTAAACTTCGGTAAGAAGGAACACATGAATGTATTTTCTTCTTTCATTCATTTATTCATTCAAATTTTCATTGAATATCTGCTATGTGTCAAGCATGATGTTTCTTTTTGTCCCTTGTAACTAAGATCTTGTCATTGCCCATAAGAAAGTCCTGGCCTAGAGATGGGAGTGCTAAGTACTTAGACAACTGTAACGTAAATACAAGGTACCCTAAGGGAGCCGAAGGAATCAGGGAGAGTTTAGTGAAAACTCTGGATTATGGAATTAGACACATAAAATCAGGGGATTTGGTGTTATGGAATCAGCATGAGCAAAGGAAAGAAGGTTGAGTGATTACAGAATTATTTCCTACTCTACGTGGGACACTGGCTAGAGGATTGTTTCTAATACTAGAGTAACTTACAGAAGTCTTCTCTAAGAGTTTGATCGGTTTAGCTCTTAACAATCTCTGATACAGATGCCTTTTAAAGAAATAAAACTCTCAGAGAACCTGCAAGCACTCTCCCCAGAACCAACCAGGGATAGCAGATCACACAGGGAGGGGAGAAATGAGCTTAGTCAGGCAGAGGCCACAGACTGCGGACCATGGGCAGCCCCCAGTTCAGGCCAAGGATTCAGGAGTGAGCAATGGGAAGACACCAGAAAGGTTAAGGGTAGCAGAACAATTCATTCAAGGGAAGACTGGAAAGACCTATTGGGAGGCTATCACAACATTAGGCCAGAGTTAATGTGTAGCTGAAGTGAATGGTGATGATTAGCACGGAATGATGAGATGTGTGAAGAGGTTCACAGAATTCCAGCAGGATCTTGCAGGGTATTACAATGAGGTTGTACAGGGAAAGAAGCCAAAAATGAAGCCTTTAGAGGAAGGTAGTGTCATTATGAGAAATAGGGATCACGAAGAGAAATACAGTGAGTTCTGTTCGGGCCATATTCCATTGGAGGTGCTGGGGAAGGTATTTAAGTTAATCAGGAAGATATTAAAGAGTCAAAGAGAAGGTCAGGCACAGTAGCTCACACCTGTAATCCCAGCACTTTGGGGGGCCAAGGCAGGCAGATCACTTGAGGCCAGGAGTTCAAGACCAGCCTGGCCAACATAGTGAGATGCTGTCTTTACTAAAAATAAAAAAAATTAGCTGGGTGTGGTGGTGTACATCTGTAATCCCAGCTATTCAGGAGGCTGAGGCAGGAGAATCACTTAAACCTGGGAGGTGGAGACCACAGTGAGGCAATATCGCACCACTGCCCTCCAGCCTGAATGACAGAGTGAGATGCCATCTCACAAAAAAAAAAAAAAAAAAAAAAGAAGAGTCAAAGAGAGTAGGATAAAATTCTTCTATAATTTTATACCCAAGGTAATACATTTTTTTTTTCTTAAAACAAAATACAGGGTTCGTTGGTGAATCCTTTTCTATCTCTCTCCAGGTTAAAGTGCACAGACAGAGATCAGGTGAGACTATGATTGACCCTACGGAGATGTGGCTGTGCCTGCGGGGAAGGATTGATCACGCTGAGCTACGGGTGGGTAGAAACAATAAAATGAGGCAGGGTATAAAATTTTACAGACTCCTGCAGTTTTATGAATTTGGAGAGACTTTTCCTTAACAACTGCACCCAGGACAACCACCCTCAATTGTAAATGAGGTTGAGGACAAAAATGTTTCATGACATTCTATCAAAACAGTGACCACCGATTTACTTATTAACCTTCTTTCCTTCCATACTATTTGCCTTAACTTCTACATAACAATGTGGGAAGCAGCTCAGCAGGGTGGGAAGAACTGACATTTCGGACTCAAAGAACCTTGGGCTCTAAGCCTAGCTCTGTCACTAACCAGCTGTGATACCAGACCAAAGTCATTTACCTTTTCTGAGGCTGCTTTCTCCCTGGCCAAGCAAGGATGATGGAGCTGTGGTTGAAGGTCAAGCGAGCTCAGGGGATCCACATACTTCCACACAGTGAAAGGTTCAGAGAGGACAGGGCTTGTTCTCCACTTCCTCTCCACTCAGTCTAGTGCTCTGCGCTGAGGCACAGAGCTGCCCAGAGGCCCTTCCTGGCTATCAAAGAGCTGCCACTTGGAACAGCCTAGGAGGAGGCACGCAAGTGTTCTTCCTGGCCCTGCCCCGAGACCTACGCACCATCATTTGTCAACAAAACCGCTAGGCAATTTTACTCATAAATTTATGTTCCAAGTAATGTTCTCTTGATTTGTGTTAAGCTTCCTTAAAATTAGATTATCCTATTCAATTTCCAACTCTATCCAAGTAAGTTCTAGGCCTTACAATTCAAGCTGAACGTAAAAACAGAATGGGAAAAAGTTCCTATTTTCCACGCTCAGCCACTTAAGCCATTTTGACAGCAGCCTCTCTGATTTATGCACTGATGTGTTCTACATGAAGCCAGCCTGTACTGCATTCCAGTTTATTTTCTGGAGCATAATTAGTAATGATGATGATTCGTTAGGTCAAGAGAAGGAAATTTATGAGGCTATGGAGTGAAGCTAATGATAAATCATTCTTTCCAAACCCTTTCATCATAAAGTCTAAAGATGTGCGTCAACTATAGAAGAAAGAATGGAAACAAAGTCCACATAGACCAGAGAAGAAATTCAGAGTTCCCTATCAAGTGTGTTATAATAAACACATATCAGTGATTACTTTAGGGCAGGGGTCTGCAACCCCCAGGCCACCAAGCGTTACCAGTCTACAACCTGTAAGGAACCGGGCTACGCAGCAGAAGGTGGGCAGCTGGTGAGAGATAATCCCTGCCTGAGCTCCACCTCCCGTCAGATCAGCGATGGCATTAGATTCTCATAGGAGCATGAACCGTATTGTGAACTTCATACGTGAGATATCTAGGTTGCACACTCCTTATGAGGATCTAACTAATGTCTGATGATCTGAGGTGGAACAGTTTCATCCTGAAATCATTGCTCCCTGCCCATCCGTCCTGTGGAAAAATTGTCTTCCACAAAACCCATCCCTGGTGCCAAAAAGGCTGGGGGCTTCAGAGACCTGTGTTTGGCCTTGTTTACCTTACGGGAAGAGAAAGATGTGATACTCCAATAGAATACTCATTAAGATTTAAAGGGCAAGAGTACTTCAGTAGAATGCATAAGAACAAGTATATAAGAAAATATGTGAGAACAATTTTTAAATGTCACCACAATTTATTTGAAAATAACTTAAAGTCAAGGTCAAAGAGAAAAACAGACCACAAAGAGAAGAACAGTAGCTCAGGGAGGGCATTCTCAAAAAACGGATGGCTCCCAAGATAGAACTTATTTCAAACATAACCTCATAAAACAGCACCTAGTTACATAAATAATATTAATTGAGCAACACACAGATAAACAAAAGGGGTCTTTCTGTTGTTGTTGCTGTTGTTATTTTGAGGCCATAGATATTGGGTACTTTTGAAAGTCCTTTACAATAACAATTTACTTTCACAAAATAAAATTTCTTTTTAAAAACTATACATAATTTTATTCATCTTTTGAAAAGGTACGGGTGTGACAAAGTGCGCCCATTCATTTGGTAGGTGGTAAAATAGCAAAGCTCTCCAACATTGAATTTTTATAATCCCAGTTGCTTTTAGAAGTCCAGGGATATGAGCCCAAGGACAAAAAAAGCCAGTGAAGTAGATAATCCAGATCGTTTTACTCTGCTTACACTCTTAAGAACCTTCATACATTCTGCGACAGTGGGGTTAATTATGAAGCCTCTCTGTAGAATTGTGGCCTTATCTGATATTGATTACATCTGGCTGACCTTGAAGCGTTCCAGTTGATAGTCTCTATGAAGACCTTAAATTCAATGGTTGTGTTGGGAAAAAACTCAGATGCAGAGATTAAACTAGGCACTACGTTGCTTTTCTTTTCCTATTGAAATAGCACATCTTTCTGATACAGGCCATCTACTCAAATCTTCAATAAAATATAAATATTTGAAATGGGATTAAACAAAATAATCACAATTCCATTTCATCTGATATTTCAGCTGGCTTGCCAGCCACTTAGTTATATTGGATCTTAGCAAACACTCCAATTAGTGGCAAGAATGGGAATGCCCGGTGACAGATGTGTCATTGACTTTTTGTCCTCTGGTAGCAAAAAGCAATCCTTCCAGGACACAACTGCTGCATACATGCATCGTCCAACTGATGTAACTACAGTCATTGTTTTAATGGAGCAGGACTCTGACAAATCTCAACTGAGAATTCCATTGGCTCGAGCTCTAATATTTGCACAGTTTCCTCCTATGAGCATCCTGGTTTTGCTGTATTTGATGAAGCAAAGAATCCAGAAAGTGAAAACTGTCATTTATACATGTTTTTTGTTTTTTTGAGATGGACTCTCACTCACCCAGGCTGGAATGCAGTGGTGAAATCTCAGCTCACCGCAACCTCCGCTTCCTGGGTTCAAGCTATTCTCCTGCATCAGCCTCCTGAGTAGCTGGGATTACAGGTGTGCACCACCATGCCCAGCTAATTTTTTTTGTATTTTTAGTAGAAATGGGGTTTCGCCATATTGGCCAGGTTGGTCTCGAACTCCTGACTTCAAGTGATCTGCCTGCCTTAGCCTCCCAAAGTGCTGTGATTACAGGCATGAGTCACCATGCCCGGCCTTTTGGTTATTTAAGATGTTTAAATATTTAAACAGGGAATAGGGCAGGGGATGCTGACAGTACTGGAGGCCACCTGACCGAGGTGGCAGAGGCAGGCAGGATGGGACAGAGAGAATAACAGTGGCTGACCCAGACAAAAGCAGCACACCATCTAGAAGGCCAAGGTCACTCCAGGAACTCACCACACAACTGAAGGCCTGGCCCTGCCAGCACAGCCCGCTAGGAAAAGTGTGGGCCCAACTGGCCTGGCTGCAGCCTAGGTGCTGTCCCCATCTGCATGTGCCATGGAGCCAAGGGCATCCTGTGCCAGGGGACTCTGCTAGGGCATGTGCCAATTCTGTCACTACAAAACTCAACTCATCAAGCTCCACGGTCACCAGAGAGGTATTTACCCAGCCCCGGGTGCATTTCATTTACGTCAAATTAACAAACAATGAATGAATTTGACCCCTCCATGGTTTGGTGATGCATATTTAAAAATGAAAGTATATTGGAATCTAGACATTTTTAGGAATTAAAGCCACATGTCATTATTGCAATGAGTGATGATAACTACTGGTTTTTGTTTGGACATCTGCCAATCATTACTATTAGGAATCAGGAGATAAGGATTCTAGCTCTTATTCTGTCCTCACGTAGACAGGTTACCTTAAGCAAATAAACTCTAGATGAACCTCCTATTTCCTCCCCGACAAATGAGGACTCTGGACTAGATGGTCCCCTAAAGCACCTTCTAGTAAAAATATTCTGACCTAAATAATTGCTTAAAACACTGCTGGGTTTCCAACTGCATGGCAGTACTACCAGGCCACTTATTCTATGCTTCTCATCCCTGACAGATGATCTACAAATATTATCTTTTAGTGATCTGGCAAGAATGCACATTTATGTGAGATGGGGGAGTGGGCATGTAAACTACTTAGAAAGTTCTCCCTTTATGCCTTCAACTTAATGAACGCATCTAGCTAGAGCCCATACCCTAACAGAAAATGCTACAACTTCAATTTTTTAGCAACTGTCAAAAGAAAAACTCCTTCAAGTCTAATCAGTATCCTTCCCAGATGAAGAAAGATATTCCTAGTACCCAAACTTGTTACCAGATGAAGGGGTTCCCAACTCTACCTTGAAAAGAAGCTGCACAGTTTTCTGGCTTGTGCAGGAAGCCAAGGTTAGCACTGGCATTTATCAAACACATGGCTTTATCTTCATTTGCTCTGATCACTCAATGACAGTCAAGAAAAAGTTGCTCATGGTCATTAAAGAAGGAAAGAGCTACAAAAGACTGTCAGGAGATCCCCAGGCTCCCTGGAAAGAGGGAGTGATAAAAGATGCCAACAGACAGACAGACAGACAGGTAGAGCAAATAAAGATGATCAATTACCCTGACTGCTAGAATTCTGAATAGAGTTGAAATAACTGACAAATCAAGCACACAGGGAAAGCCAAAGAGATGGAAAAACAAAAATCCTACTAAGTCTTACCAGCAGCTGAACGGCTGCAAAGCACATAGTGGTGAGTAAGCAGATGTTTATTGTGAACTCACCTTGTGTACTCTTCAAGGCACTGGGGTTGCCATGGCAAACAAGAGTCCTACCCTCAAGGAGCCTGGATGTACAACCAGAAGGAAAGAACCATACAAAGAGAACCACGGGAAAGAGAGAAGGGTAGACAGAACACTGGAAGAAGACTCTTCTTCAACTGAGCCTGTACGTCCAATTGATCATACATAGGGATTAAGCAGAAACATTAAACAGAACTATCATCGCCTGTCAGAGCCAGAAAGCACATTTGGAATTTAAGGAGCCTACAAGCTGGCCCATTGTTCTTTCCACTCCGGAGATACTGGAGAGAGAAGAAAACTCAGGGGAAGGAAGGACAGTGGCATTTCCTCTATTTGATTAAACATCACAACTGACCCTGTCAGCATCATACA